CAAGTCCCTCTACCTCCCCTACACCCAGTGGGGCCTTGACCATATCCACTTTCCTTGTTAAATATTTGCAGTGTCTGTTAATACCTGGCTCATCGTGGGTGGCCAGAAACAGTGTTTGAATGAGTGAACAAATGGACATCCATGAGGTCCTTCACACAAATCTCTTCTCTGTTCTCTTCCTCTCTTTTTTTGACAAAAATCTAACACAATCTCTAAAACCCTCTAAGCATCAGCTTGAGGAAAGATAAGCTGTCTTTCCAGGCTCTGCTTCTGAGTCCCTGAGAGGAAAGTGGTGTGGTCGGATGGATGAGCAGAAACTTTGAAGTACTTGGTAAACAGAACTTCCCGTCTCTTAATATGTTCTAGCATTAAATTCTTTCATCATCTCTCCAAAGTTGAAAAATTTCCCCATTTTTATATATTAGAAAATGCAAGAAAAAAGAAATTAAATAAATTGTTCAAACCCACACATTTCACAATAGAGCCTTTGGGAAATAAAATGATCAGACCAATAAAATATATTAGGATGTCAAAGATCACATCACATTTTAGAAATAAACCTATTTAATCAGGGGAGAAATAGGCTTGCACCAAAACACAGAACCAATACTACAAAGGCAGAAAAACGAATAAAACAACAATAACAACCTAATAGGTTAGTTTAATATTAATCTGGACACTGATCTTATGTCTTCCATAAAAATCGACTTAAAATGGATCGTAGACCTAAATGTAAAATGCAAAACCATAAAATCGGACTACATCAAAATTAAAAATTTCTGCCCTTCAAAAAACACTGTTAAGTGAATGAAAAGACAGGCCACAGACTGGGAGAAAATATTTGCAAAACAGATCTATCTCATAAAGGATGTGTATCCAAAATATGCAGTGAAGTGTCAAAACTCAGAAATAAGAAAACAACCCCATAAAAAGTAGGCAAAAGACTTGAACAAACACATCACCAAAGAAGATATAAAGACAGCAAATAAGTATATGAAAAGATACTCAATAACGTATGTTATTAGGGGAACACAAATTAAAACAACAATGAGGCCAGGCTCAGTGGCTCACACCTGTAATCCCAGCACTTTGGGAGGCCAAGGCAGGTGGATCACGAGGTCAGGAGTTTGATACCAGCCTGACCAACATGGTGAAACCCCGTCTCTACTAAAAATACAAAAATTAGCCAGACTTGGTGGCCCGTGCCTGTAACCCCAGCTACCCGGAAGCTGAAGCAGGAGAATCGCTTAAACCCAGGAGGCAAAGGTTGCAGTGAACTGAGATCATGCCACTCCAGCCTGGGCGACAGAGCTAGACCATGTCTTGAAAAAGAAAGAAAAAAAAAAAAAAACAATGAGCTATCACTACATACCTATTAGAATGGCCAAAATTGAGAACACTGACAACACCAATGCTGGTGAGGATATGGAGCAACAGGAACTCTTGTTCATTGCTGGTGGGAATGCAAAATGGCACAACCACCTTGGAAGACAGTTTGGCAGTTTCTTACAAAGCTAAACATCATCTCACCATATGATCCAGCAATCATACTTCTAGGCATTTACCCAAATGAATTGAAAGCATATGTCCACACAAAAACCTACCTGCAAATTTTATTGCAACTTCATTCATAATTGCCAAAAATGGGAAGAAACATAGGTAACCTTTACTAGTGAATGAATAAACAAGCTGTGAAACATCCACATATTAGAATATTATTCAGAAATAGAAATAAATGAGCTGTCAAGCAGTGAAAAGACATGAAGAAACTTTAAATGCACAGTGCTATGTGTAAAAAGCCAGTGAAAAGATCAATGGTCGTCCGGGGCTGGAGGAGAAGGAAGGTGTATCACAGGGGGATTTTTAGGGCAATGATTCTTTCTGTTTAATACTCTAATTGTAGATAACATGACATTATGCTTTTAGCAAAACCCATAGAACAACACAAAGAATGAACCCCAATATAAACTGTAGACTTTAGTTAATGCTGATCCATCAATATGAATCAATATTGGTTCATAACTTGTAACAAATGTACCATACCAATGCAAGACATTAATAATAGGGAAAATGAGTGAGAGAGAAGAGGGAGAATATGGGAACTTTCTGTACTTTTTACTCAACTTTTCTGTAAGTGTAAAACTGCCCTAAAATAATATCTATTCATTTCAGAGAGAGAGAGAAACCAGTTGGAGTTGAAGTCTAATTGTTTTTGCTTAATTTCAATTCTAGATAGATAATATGGTTTGCAACTCTTGGAGGGGATAACAGCTAATACAAGAGTGTTATTCAGTAAGTTACCAATAAGATATCCAGGCTGCCAGATCTCTCCCCAGGTTATATTAGAATAGCATGACAGGCCGGGCACGGTGGCTCACACCTGTAATCCCCAGGACTTTGGGAGGCCGAAGCAGGTGGATTACTTGAGGTCAGTAGCTTGAGACCAGCCTGGCCAAGATGGCGAAACCCTGTCTCTACTAAAAATACAAAAATTACCTGAGTGTGGTGGCAGGTGCATGTAATCCCAGCTACTCGGGAGGCTGAGGTAGGAGAATCACTTGAACTTGGGAGACGGAGTTGCCGTGAGCTGAGCTCGCGCCACTGCACTCCAGCCTGGGTGACAGAGCGAGACTCCATCTAAAAACAAACAAACAAAAATGACAATACAAGAGGTGTATGCAGAAGCCTAGTACACACCCAGAAGTAGACATTCGTATAGGACTATCTAAAAGTGGTATAGAAAGAGGAAACAAGGAGAGCAAGGAGCTGGGCTGTATATATGACTTTCTGGAACTCAAGATTCTGGTGAGGTCACTGCTGGGCATACCTGCTTGGTGGAAACCTTGGCCTGAGACGGGCAGAGCTGGCTCTCCTGGCATCCTTGTGTGCAAGCAGGGTCTTGCACACAAGGATATACAAGACATTGTGGCAGGTTGCTGCTGAGACACATCTTCCTGTCCTTGTCATCCTCATGGAGGGCTGGGCCTGTCCAGAGTTGGGTATATAGCCAAGTGCCAATAAGGCAGAGATTGAAATCTGAGTTTCTCTGAGCCCAAAGCCCTTGCACTTTCTGCTTCACCCCACTGTCTCTCTCAACAATTTTTTCTCTTTGGGCCTCTATCTTGAGCCCTCTATGTTTCTCCCTACACAACACCCAACCAACACAAAAGAGGCTAATACCTCTCTGTACCTCCCCATTACATAGTTTTTAAATTTAACACTCCTTTATTAAGCAGCAACTTTGTGCCAAGCCCTGTTAAGTTGGAGATACTAAAAGAGGAATAAGATTAAACTCAAGGATCTCACAGTCTAGAGATAAAGACATGTAAATTACAGTGAAACAAGATATTAATTGCTATAAATAAAGGCAAAAAATTTATTGGAACCACAATAATCCAGCACTTTGAACTCTACAGGATATTATGAAACTCTATGAAAGTCCATGTCGTCTACATTTTTTTGTACCTCTCTATCTAGCTTTTTGCCAGAGCCTCACATTTAAAATTCCTTTCAAACCTCTCCCTCCTATTCATATTCTTCAGCCTTTTGTTTCTTCCTCAAGATTGCTAACTCTCGCTGATTTTCCAATTCAGTCAAACTGCTAGGCCACTGTATGCACATTCATCCAACATAATTACTGTGATTCTTTCACCTGCAGGAAAGAAGAAATGAGCTTAACCCACGGCACACTGTCATTAAGCAGGGGGGATTACCAACGTGCAACCTCAAGGCCATATACCACAAGGAGGGTGATGTGGCCAGAAGTGAAATGATGCTATGGAGTCTAGATGACAGAGCCAGCCAGTTCCTTCCCACTGCCAACCCCTGTGTTAGGGCCAAGTTCCAAGGTGGAACAGGGAGGGTGGAGAGCAGTGAGCAACTAGTCCCAAGCCCCACATGTCAGGGCTTTTCTCTGGCGGTAGACAAGGGGAAGAATCAGGTATTGACAGTTCCCTGTTTTTCACACTGCCACTGGCAGGCCGTGTTATGCACTCTTGTCTTGGGACAACTTATCACCAAATGCCTCACACAAAACCTCTACCTGCTTCTCTACATTCCTTTCCTGTCACTGTCCGGATTCCCAGGTTGCATTTTAGTAATACCATGGGAGGAGATGCTCCTCACAACCACACTGGACTCCTGGCTTTCTGCCTCAACTCATGCCTTTCCTTCCCTCCTGGGATCTCCGAACCTTCTGCACCTACTTTGACCTCTACTCACTATTCATTTGGCCAGGTTCAGATCTCCTGGGATATTTCCTCAACCATCTTCACGCCCACACATCCTTCCTCTATAATATCTTTGTAGTGAATTAATCTGTTTTCAATTCTGATCCTTTGCTAGACTGTGGGCAATTTCAAGTCAGGAGAATTTTGTCTTTCCATTCCTAATGCCTAGCACTGCCTAGAACTGTGTAGACAACAATATATTTGTATTACTGTCTCCTTCCTAATGTGTAAATATATGTGATGTAGCACGTGGTTGAAAGTACACATTTTTGAGCTATCCTGCTTAGGTTTGAGTCCTGATTCAGTCATTTACTCTGGATTTGGGGGATGCAGCTAATGTTATTCTTCCTCAGTGTCCTCAAATGTGAAACAGGAATAGAAATACTTATCTTATATGTTTGTTGTGGGATTTGAATTAGTAGATAGATGATAGATAGAGCGATAGATAGATAGATAGATAGATAGATAGATAGATAGATAGATACATAGATAGATAGATAGATTTTGAATGATACCTGACACATATTAAGTGCTGGATAAGCATTAACTATCATCATTGTCATCATTACCATCATTATTATCATTATCATCAGATTTGTAGTCCTGACAATAGAGCACAGCACAACAGAGAATAGAGTTCTTGGTTCCCACAATGCCTTTCTTGAGATTAAGAAAATACTTGCTTAGATTTATCTGACCTCCAGATTGTTCAGAATAAATGGCTGATACTGACCCTTCGTGTTCAGATCTGCTGACACAAGCTTTGCTCCAGAGCGGTTTCTGCTGATTTAAATACGTAGAACAACTGTTAAACAGTACTTTAGACAAAACCACAAACTCTCCTCTCAAATAACATTTATAATTAAAGAACAACTGGCTATTTATAAGGGGGGAAAGCCACCAGAATAGATTTTTTTTAAAGGGGGAAAAAGAGAAAATTGTGTTATTATTGGTAATGACTTTGGAAAGATAAGAAATGTTTCTTAAAAGGAAAATTAGCGAGGCTGTTAATTTTAGAATATTACGTTCAAAATTCTGGATTTCTTTAGAATGATACAGATATTGAGAAGGAAAATGCTAAGGGGAAGAAAAAGAAATTAAAAAAAAAAAAGCTATCCAGGCAACTGCAAGAAACTCAAGCCAATATGTAGCATGCATCTGCTGGCAATACCCTCATCAAATAAGGAAATAAGATACAAAACTGAAATTGCTATTCAAAGAAACTTGATAAACAAAATAATCCATTCAGTATAACAGATGTCTGTATAATAGTGTGTGCCATGACTAAAATATCTGACCCACCCACCTACCCACTGGCATTGCTACCAAAAACATCAATTTAAACTGGGCAACCTGAAATGTGCAAAATAAAACTGGCTATAACTACAATGTCAGCAAAACATATTCACGCGGAAAAGACTGGAAGTATTTAAAAGGCATCATCTAAAAAGTGTGCCTCCAAATACTATACTCTCTCTCCTTGGCCCAGGTACACGTTCTGTCCTTATGACATTTTTACCTCTAGTTCAGTTCATTGGTTCTGCAATTTTAATGAGATAAAAGAAGCTATGCTCAATTTAGTTCACTCAAAAGATATTTGTTACCCGTCCTGTATTCCAGGCCCAGCGGCAGTTACTGGAGATACTAAAATGAATGAGGCATGTTCAAGGTCTTGAAGAGTTGACACTCTAGTGCTATATCTGTTTAGGAGTAAACCGAAGCATCACTTTGGATCTATTTGAGTCTCTGCAAATTTGGACGCACTAGATGAATGGTTCATATTTATCTCTTTGGTGGAAAATTATCAAATTTTCTGGACTATTATATTTCCATTAAGAACATGAATGCCAGGTACCTAGTGTAAGGTTGCTGTTATGGACTAGCCTAAAAGATTTGGTACAAGGCAAGAGAAACTTCAGCACTTTGCGATCCAAATCTAATCAGTAGGAAAGTTACTTCTTATTTTTCATGTTTTCATATACAAAACGGAAGGTTTAAACAATGGCTTTTTATACCCACTGTGTCTTTCTTGGATACTGTGAATATTACCAGAGTGAAGCAATTCTCATATTTCAGGGAAAAAAAAAAAAGACAATACACAAATGATAACTGTCAAAACAAAATTAATCATCACATTTTCCTGTTGCCTAATTTCTTGATTAACTTCTGATGGCCCTCTGAGACAACGAATAAAAATGCTCAAACAAAAAGGACCTTAAAAGGAGGTGAACTTTCATTGCACAGTGTTTCTGACAGCTTGCTCCTAAGCAAAGCAACTGGCGTCCCTGGGGACTCATTCAACATTCATTTGAATCATGGAGAAAGAGACCCAGTTTGGAAGATGTTTTTCTGCAGTGCAGAGGGGGACTTTGATCCTAGCTCAGATAACAGCTGCTATCCCTGAGAGGATTTTCTGGTTGTTCTATCCCTCAGGCCAGGTAAGTCTCAAGGGAGGTGTCTAGTTGACCTCAGAGCTCAGCCAAGCAACTGATACCTGAGGGAGGGTCTTTGAGTGGGCAAAGGAGCCTGGCATCGAGTGTTATCATTCTGTCAGTCTCTCTCCTGGCTGGAGACAGAGCACACAGGAAAGGAACTCCTAAATGGAGTCAGGTCTCACCTGGATTCTCCCCCTTCATTGTAAAATTAAAGGAAAGCGGGAAGCCAAAATGCCATGATAGATTTTGGTCTCTGCCATTATGTTTTCTCACTATTCTGGAATTGTAACAAAGTGTTTCCTTTGAAATTCCTGACCCTTAGCTTTTAAATACAGAAGCAAAGGTGACTATGTATGATTAATCTCTTAGGAGAAAATAAAATATGTTGTTTAATCAAGTTAATCAAGTAGCATGGAAGAATATAAGACTACATCAATATATCACCTTGTAGGAAACCATTTTTCTTTTTTTTTTTTTTTCTTTTCCTTTTTTTCTTCCTTTTTCTTTTTTAGAGATGGGTCTCACTATATTGCCCAGGCTGGCCTCAAACTCCTGGGCTCAAACAATTCTCCCTCCTCAGTCTCCTAAGTAGCTGGGACTACAGGCATGCATAACTGCACTTGGCTCATTTTCATTTTAGAATTAGGTATATTTGAAAAAGAATTGTATCCCCTTTAAAATGTAAAAAATGACATTTATGCAGCCAACAGACACATGAAAAAATGCTCATCATCACTCGTAATCAGAGAAATGCAAATCAAAATCACAATGAGATACCATCTCACACCAGTTAGAATGGCGATCATTAAAAAGTCAGGAAACAACAGGTGCTGGAGAGGATGTGGAGAAACAGGAACACTTTTACACTATTGGTGGGACTGTAAACTAGTCCAACCATTGTGGAAGACAGTGTGGCGATTCCTCAAGGATCTAGAACTAGAAATACCATTTGACCCAACCATCCCATTACTGTGTATATACCCAAAGGATTATAAATCATGCTTCTATAAAGACACATGCACACATGTGTTTATTGTGGCTCTATTCACAATAGCAAAGACTTGGAACCAACCCAAATGTCCATCAGTGATAGACTGGGTTAAGAAAATGTGGCACATATATACCATGGAATACTATGCAGCCATAAAAAGGATGAGTTCATGTCCTTTGTAGGACATGGATGCAGCTGGAAACCATCATTCTCAGCAAACTGTCACAAGAACAGAAAACCAAACACCGCATGTTCTCACTCAAAGGTGGGAATTGAACAATGAGAACACTTGGACACAAGGTGGGGAATATCACACCCTGGGGCCTGTTGTGGAGTGGGGGGAGGGGGGAGGAGATATACCTAATATAAATGACTAGTTAATGGGTGCAGCACACCAACATGGCACATGTATACATATGTAACAAACCTGCACATTGTGCACATGTACCCTAGAACATAAAGTGTAATACAAATTTTCTTTAATGTAAAAAATTAACCTACATATTGACCCTGTGAGGTAAAACTACATATTTGTCATTGTATTTATGATATGAAACATCAGGGAAATCACTGAAGTTACAAAGACATAAGAAAAACACGTTTATGATAATTCGTTTGAAAAGGTGACTATCAGAGAAAACTCCTGCCATCACAAAGTTATTCTGCCACTCATAGTTTAATAAGCCTTTATTTTTCATTTGTGCAATCCTCTAATAAATAAAGGAGTTAACATTTATTTGTTAAGCACTTATTATGTGCAAAACATTGTTTTAGATGCTGTGGGGAATAAAGATATTTATAACAGTCCCTAGATTTACTAGAGGGATCTGTACATGGTAGGAAATGGTAAATACCATAGAGATGACATAAACTAGAGGAGTTAAAAAAAGTCTCCCAATGACCACCAGTCCCAGACGCAGTTTTGATTTCAACTATTAACTCAATTGAAAGCTAATTTCAGGATATCAGGATATTTAGCCAATATCTTCCCCATCGCAGAGGGAAAACGAGCTGCTATCAGCCCACAGAGAGACACTTACACCTCTCCGCAGATTTATGAAGGCAAGTGAAGATAGGCAATTTGCCTATCTTTCTCCACTCTCCTCTCTTCTTTCAACCTTTATATTCAGGTATGAAGTGTGGCACTGGCTGCAGTAAAGGAAGCTGAAACAAGAAGAGAAAGAAAGTTGCTTCTCCAGTCTTCTGCAAGCCATCTTGCATTCTTGGGCAAACCTCCCTGGCTCAGCTGGGAATATGTGTTTGAGAACCTACATTCTGAAGGGAAGTCTGGCAATACCAAAGGTATCTTCAACTGATTCTTCTTAACAGGTCAAGAGCCAGAGCCTTGATGAGGGAAAGAGAGGAGATATTTTTGTTTTGTCTCAAGGAAAGTGCCTTCCTTTGAGTCCCTGAGACTAAAAACGTTGTCATTATAAGAACTATTCACAAACATTCAGCATGACAGGAATGTGTGTAAAATACACAATTGTGTAGAAAACACAAACTCCACATGGGATGGATTTTCTGTTTTAATTCAATAAGTTAGTTAGCTGTCTTGCAGTATATGCTGGGCACCTGTTCAATATTTCTATTCTTTGTTCAATATTTCTATCTAAAGGAGATCTTCACCACTTAAAATAACTAGATCAGTGGAAAAGATTCATTCTTACTCGAGCATTTATACCAGTTATATCAGATGTGTTCATTCTTTCCCCTTTTTTTCCTATTTTCTAATGCTTCAGATTGTCCATAATAGGATTCAATTAGGAAACCTACTTTGTACCTTGTGTCTTAACTTGGATTCTTAACCTTTTTATCTTTTATCCTTTTATGAAGATTTTACATTTCCCCCTTTCTGATATTACCCTTCTTCTAAAGACTTTCAGTGTGAATATCTTTTACAATCATCTCTACATAATAGTGCTTTTTCACATATGTCCAGGTCCCCTCATCTATATCTGCACATTACATACCTATGAACCCGTATCAATACCCCTGCCTACCTACCTATCATGCTAGGGTTGCAGGACGAGCATTCCTCTCTTTTCTGTGTGGACTCCTCTTCTTGTACAGCCAACCAGAACATCCTTGATTGTTTACAAGATGTAACCTTGTCTTTTCCTTGTCTTCTTTTGATACTTTGCCTCATTAAGTTTTTTTTTCTGTTCATTATTATCATTGTCAAGTTCAGCTGGTAAGGTCAGTAATACACCTTCACAGTCCTACCTCAGGGCTGTATCAACTCTCCAGTCAGGCTTATGTCATAATTTAGTTCACATTGTCTTTCCCTCTTCCCATCACAAGACATCACACAGGTCCATTACACTGAGGTCATTATGCTGATTAGACCTTGTGAGCAAGAAGCAGCAGCTACTCTAGACTTATTGGTAAGACATGTCAAAGAGTGGGAAAGAAAGCCTAAAATACAGAGGCGTTCCACCTCACTCAAATTTCTAGGGGTCCAGTGGTGTGGGGCATGTCCAGATACCACTTCTAAAGTCAAGGATAAGTTGTTGTGTTTGTTCTCTCCCACAACTAAGAAAGAAGCACAGTGCCTACGAGGCCTCTTTGGATTTGGAAGGCAGCATATTCCTCGTTTGGGTGTGTTACTCCAGCCCATTTACCACGTAACCCAAAAAGCTGCTAGTTTTTAGTGGGCCCCAGAAAAAAAGAAGTTTCTGCAACAGATTTAGGCTGCAGTACAGGCTGTTTTGGCACTTGGGCCATATGAGTCACCAAATCCAGTGGTGTTTAAAGGCTCAGTGGCAGATAGGGATGCTGTTTGGAGCCTTTGGCAGGCCCCATAAGTGAATCACAGTGCAGGCCTTAGAATTTTAGGATAAGACCCTGCCATCATTTACAGATAACTTCTCTCCTTTTGAGATACAGGTATTGCCCTGCTACTTGGCCTCAGTAGAAACTGAATATTTGACTGTGGGCCATCAAGTTACCATGCGAACTGAGTTGCCCATCATGAACTTGGTGTTATCTGACCCACCACGCCATAACATTAGGCATTTACAGCAACACTCTACAGTCAAATGGAAGTGGTTTATACATAATAGGACCCAGCAGGCCTTGAAGGTAAGGGACATGAAGAAATGGCCCAACTGCCAGGAACCCCACTCATGCTACACTGATTCTCTCTCCCAGCCTGCATTTCTGGCCTCATGGGGAGTTCCCTGCAATCAGTTGAAAGAGAAAGAGAAGACTTGGGCCTGGTTTACAGATAGTTCTCCACAATATGCAGGTACTACCTGAAAGTGGACAGTTGCAACATTGCAACCCTTCTCTGGGCCATCCCTGAAGCACAGCAGTGGAGAGAAATTCTCCCAGTGGGTGGAATCTGAGGGTACACCTGGTTGTTTACTTTCTTTGGAAAGAGAAATGGCAAGACAAGCAGTTATATTCCAATTCATGGGTTGTGGCCAGTGATTTGGCTGGATGCTCAGGGAAACGGAAGGAACATGGTTGAAAATTGGTAATAAAGAAATGTGGGAAAGAGGTAGGCAGATACACATCTCTGAATGGACAAAAATATGAAGATATTTCTGTCCCATGTGAATGTTCACCGAAGGGCAGCCTCAGCAGAGGAGGATTTTAATAACCACAGGGATAGAATGACCATTCTGTAGATACCAGTCAGCCTCTTTTCCCAGCCAGCTCTGTCATTGCCCAATGAGCTCATGAACAAAGTGGTCATGGTGGCAGGGATGGAGTTTATGCATAGGCTCAGCAGCATGGACTTCTACTCCCAAAGGCCAATCTGACTATGGCCCACTACTGAGTACCCAGTCTGACAGCAACAAAGACTAACGCTGAGCCCCCAATATGGCACAGTTCCGAGGGGTGATCATCCAGCTACCTTGTGGCAAATTGATTATATCAGACCATTTATTTCTATCATAGAAGGGGCAGAATTTTGTCTTTACTGGAATAAACACTCTAGATATAGATGTTTCTTTCTTTCACACAATGCTTCTGCCAAAACTACCACCCAAGGGCTTACAGAATGCTTTATCTACTGTGTGGCATTCCACACAGCATTGCTTCTGATCAAGAAACTCACTTCACAGCAAAAACAAAAAGAAAAAAGAAAAAAGAAAAAAAGGTGTGGCAATAGGCCTATGTCTGTAAAATTCGCTGGCCTTATCATGTTTCCCATTATCCTGAAACAGGCATGATAAAACAATGGAATGGTTTTTTGAAGATTCAGTTTTTGCCCATTCATGATATTGGCTATGGGTAATTAAACTAAAGAGCTTCTGCACAGCAAAAGAAACTACCATCAGAGTGAACAGGCAACCTACAGAATGGGAGAAAATTTTTACAATCCAGCCATCTGACAAAAGGCTAATATGCAGAATCTACAAAGAACTTAAATTCACAAGAAAAAATCAAGCAACCCCATGAAAAAGTGGGCGAAGGATATGAACAGACAATTCTCAAAAGAAGACATTTATGCAGCCAATAGACACATGAAAAAAATGCTCATCATCACTCGCCATCAGAGAAATGCAAATCAAAACCACAATGAGATACCATCTCACACCAGTTAGAATGGCGATCATTAAAAAGTCAGGAAACAACAGGTGCTGGAGAGGATGTGGAGAAATAGCAACACTTTCACACTGTTGGTGGGACTGTAAACTAGTTCAACCATTGTGGAAGACAGTGTGGCAATTCCTCAAGGATCTAGAACTAGAAATACCATTTGACCCAGCCATCCCATTACTGGGTATATACCCAAAAGATTATAAATCATGCTACTATAAAGACACATGCACACATGTGTTTATTTCAGCACTATTCACAATAGCAAAGATTTGGAACCAACCCAAATGTCTATCAATGATAGACTGGATTAAGAAAATGTGGCACATATACACCATGGAATACTATGCAGCCATAAAAAAGGATGAGCTCCTGTCCTTTGTAGGGATGTGGATGAAGCTGGAAACCATCATTCTGAGCAAACTATCGCAAGGATAGAAAACCAAACACCGCATGTTCTCACTCATAGGTGGGAATTGAACAATGAGAACACTTGGACACAGGGTGGGGAACATCACACACCGGGGCCTGTTGTGGGGTGGGGGAGTGGGGAGGGATAGCATTAGGAGATATACCTAATGTGAATGATGAGTTAATGGGTGCAGCACACCAACATGGCACATGTATACATACGTAACAAGCCTGCACATTGTGCACATGTACCCTAGAACTTAAAGCACAATAATAAAAAATAAAAAAAGAAGATTCAGTTAAAGTGTCACCCAGAAGACAACACCTTGCTGGACTTGGGAAAGGTTTTCCAGAACGTTGCATATGCTGTGAATCAGCATTCAGTATATGATGCTATTTATCCAATAACCAGAATTAACAGGTTCAGGGATCAAAGAGTGAAAATGGAAGAGGCACCACTCATTATTATCCTTGTGACCCACTAGCAAACTTTTGCTTCCTATTCTCATGACTTTATGCTCTGCTGGCCTACAGATCTTAAGCTGGAAGGAGGAATGCTTCCAGCAAGAAACAAAATAATTCCACTGAACTGCAAGTTAAGACTTTCACCCAGCTACTTTGGGCTTCTTATGCCTCTGAATCAACAGGAAAAGAAGGGAGTTACAGTGTTGGCTTGAGTGAATGATCCAGGCTACGAAGGGGAAATTGGACTTCTCCTCCACAAAAATAAGGAAGAGTATGTCTGGTATACAGGAGATCCCTTAGGGAGTCTTTTAGTATAACCACACCTTGTGGTAAAGGTCAATGTAACACTACAACAACCCAATCTAGGCAGGGCTATTAATAGCCCAGATTCTTCAGGAATGAAAGTTTGGGTCACCTCATCAGGCAAAGAACCATCACCAGCTGACATGCTTGCTGAAGGCAAAGGGAATACTGAATGAATAGTAGCAGAAGGTAGTTATAAATACCAGCTATGATCATGTGACCACTTACATAAATGAGACTTTAATTATCATAAGAATTTTCTCCTTATTTTTTATGAATACACTTGTGTATATACATATATATACACACATATATATTAAGCAGATATCTTTGTTTTCTTTCTGTTCTTATTTTCTTATTATGTAACAGAAGATGTATTGACTTTATGGCAGTATTTAAGTACTGTTATTTTTATATCATTGTATTTAAGGAATATCAGGGGAAGAATAAACATCACTAAGAACTTTTACTTCCTCTTTTGGGGAAGGGATAAGTATTAGTACCTTTTCCTTGTATTCAAGATAGTTGTATCATGTTACGCAAAATAATGACTTCGTTATTATCTGTATTTGGAGATTAAGCATGATTTACAAGAATGCATGTCATACCAAGGTGAAAAAGAGTAGACTTGTGGTGGTTAATTTTACATGTCAACTTGATTAGGCAAAGAAAAGCCCAGATAGCTGGTACATTATTTCTGGATGTGTCTATGGGGATGTTTCCAGGAGAGATTAGCATTTGAATCGGTAGACTGAGTAAAAATCATCCTCACCAATGTGGGTGGACTTCACCTTGTCTGTTGAGGGACTGAATAGAACAAAAAGGTGGAGAAAGGGTGAATTTGCTCTCTGTGCTTGAGCTGGAACATTCATCTTCTCCTTCCCCTGGACATCAGCACTCATGACTCTCAAGCCTTCAGACTCCAAATGGGTCTTACACCATCGGCCTCCCCTGGATCTCAGGCCCTCAGGCTTAGACTGAAATTGCACACTGGCTTTGCTGGCTCTCCAGCTTGCAGGCAGCAGATTGTGGGACTTCCAAACCTTCAAAATCATGTAAGCCAATTCTTCTTAATAATTTTTTTAATCTATCTATCTACCTATCTATCTATCCATCTATCTGTCTACCTACCTACCTACCTATTGTTCCATCTATAGCCTATTGGTTCTGTTTCTCTGAAGAACCCTGGCTAATGCACCTTTTATAAGGGTTTTACTTTTCTTCTCCTCTTTCTAATATTATCCTTCTTTCTGGGGAATTTCAGTGTGAGTATCTTTTAAAATCACCCCTACATCATTGTGCTTTTTCACATGTCCATCTACCTATATCTACATATGTGTAAAGATATGTGTTTGTGTGTTTGTCTATCATGCTAGGGTTGCAGTATGGGCATTACCCTTTATTCTGTGCAGATTCCTCTTGTTATACAGCCAACCAGAACATCCTTGATTGTTTTCAAATATGGATATCTGATGGGTATATAATATACATTTATATAATCAATAATATATGAGACATATAATATACATACAATGTTTTCAAGATGTACTCTTGCCTTCCTTTCCTACTTTGCCTCATTTAAAAATTTTTCTTTTCATGCCAGTCATGGTGGCATGTGCCTGTAATCCCAGCTACTCAGGAGGCAGAGGTGGGAGGATCACTTGAGCTCAAGAGTTCAAAACTGCAGTAATCTATTATCGTGCCACTGCACTCTAGCCTGAGTGACAGAGCAAGAACTTTTATCTAAATAAATATGTATATACATAATCACATAAAATATTTTTCTCTACTCTTCATCATTACATTGTCAAGTTCAACTCTGTACTCAGATATCAGCTTGAGGTCATCTTTTCTTAACTTGTCATTAGTTAATATACATTAAGGAATTACAGTGTTTCCAAAAGTGACTCTCTAAAATTTTTAGAGTGGGCATTAATAAAAATATTTCTGATCTGATCGCCCCTTTGATATTGTTCAACGAAGTATGATAATGAACAGATTCAATCCTCTGAAAATTCCCTTATTTTTCTGTTTGCAAAGATAGCCCATCCCACACTTGGCAATGTGACTTCACCTTCTCCCATAGCAAGGTGAAATTTCTTCCCCCTCTCTTTACCTCTGGGCTGGCCAAGTGACTGGCTTTGGTTTAAACACTGCAATGGCTGTGTCTCTGTGCAGGCTTCTGAGCCTCAGCTTCAAGGGGCCTTGTGACTCCTGCTCCCATTTTCTTGGAACTCAGTAGTTAGTATGCTGTAAAAAAGACCCAAATGGAAGACAGTGTGAAAAAGAGAAGTGAGCTGTGCCAGTCATTCCCAGAATTGCAAACGATACTTCAAATGTGCAAGTGAGACCCTACTAGACTCACCTATCCCAACTGAGCCCACACGGGATTACGGTCTCGAGAATGAGACCAGTTGAAAAAAGCAAAACAGCCTGGTCAACACACAAAATAATGAGAAAAAATAAATTGCCATTGTATTAAGCAATGAATTTTCTGGTGATTTGTTACTCAATAATACAAAATTGATATAATCTTCATTGCACCTAGTACCCTACTAGTTCACATTAGGTACTCAACAGGATTGAAAATATGTGTGGCAAACAAGCCAATAGAGATGAGAGGACCACCACCTTTGACTTCATTCATTCAATATATATGGATACATAGATAGATAGATAGATAGATAGATAGATAGATAGATAGATAGACAGACAGACAGATAGATAGATAGATATCTGATGGGTATATTTATATAATCAATAATATATAATACATAAAATACAGTCATATGTACATATAATCACATATATATTCATTATATCTATAAAATCAGGCCCAGTCCTCACACTGGGGTACAACATCAATAAAATTATATCCTTGCCATCAGAAGTCTCATGATCTACTGGAAGATGGCACAGATGAAAATGAATAATTATACAGCCACATGGAAAAGTCTGGCAGAGTACTACAGGAACACAAAGAAAGGAGTGATTAACCTTGACTGAGAGAAGAGAGGCGTGGGTAGGAAAAATTGAGAAGAAAAAAATCAGAGCATAGTTACTGAGTTAAAAGTGGAGACAGTGGCAACAGCATGGAGCTCAGAACCACGCTTAGGGAAGCCAAATGTACCAAGCTGCTGGTCCATGCACCGTCTTCTGCCATAAGGACTTGGAGTTAAACTGTTTGAATAAGAAATCACCTGAAATTCTTTTCGTGACATATTTGCCCTCTCTTCCCTTGCCTATTTCAGACTTTATTCCTGCAAGCCTTTTTTTCTATTCTTTTTTTTTTTTT